ACATTACTATACACTACGCTACTAAATATACTACGCTACTATACACTACTACACACTACACTATTATACTAAATATACTACACTACTATACACTACACTACTAGACACTACACTATTACACTACTATACACTACTAAACACTACACTATTACACTACTAAACACTACGATACACTACGCTACTAAATACACTACTATACACAACACTACTACACTACTATACACAACTACACTACTAAACACTACACTACTACACTACTTTACACTACGCTACTAAATATACTCCACTACTATACACTACACTACGATACACTACTATACATACTACACAACTAAACACTACACTACTATACATACTACACTACTATACACTACGATACACTACACTACTAAATATACTACACTACTATACACTACACTACAATACACTACTATACATACTACACTACTAAACACTATACTATACATACTACACTACTAAACACTATACTATACTACTATACACTACTAAACACTACTATACACTACTACACTATACTACTATACACACTACACTACTATACATACCACTACGCACTACAATAATATGCACTACACTACTATACACTACGAAACACCACACCACTATACACCACTATACACTACATTACTATATACTACACGCTATATACATACTACACTACTAAACACTATACTATACATACTACACTACTAAACACTATACTATACTACTATACACTACTAAACACTACTATACACTACTACACTATACTACTATACACACTACACTACTATACATACTACTACGCACTACAATAATATGCACTACACTACTATACACTACGAAACACCACACCACTATACACCACTATACACTACATTACTATATACTACACGCTATCACACCACTACACTATACACTACACCACTATACACTACACTACTATACACTACACCACTATACACTACATTACTATATACTACATTACTATATACTACACGCTACCACCACACTACACTATACACGACACCACTATACACTACATTAATATATACTACACGCTACTATACACTACACTATACACTACACCACTACACTATACACCACACCACTACACTATACACTACACCACTATACACACTACATTAATATATACTACACGCTACTATACACTACACACTACACTATACACCACACCACTACACTATACACTACACCACTATACACAGTACATTAATATATACTACACGCTACTATACACTACACACTACACTATACTATACACTACACCACTACACTATACACGACACCACTACACTATACACTACACCACTATACACTACATTAATATATACTACACGCTACTATACACTACACACTACACTATACACTACACTATACACGACATCACTATACACTACTACATTACTATATACTACACACTACTATACCTACTATACACTACACCACTACACTATACACTACACCACTACACTACACTATACACCACACCACTACACTATACACTACACCACTACACTATACACTACACTATACACTACACCACTATACACTACATTACTATATACTACACGCTACTATACACTACACTATACCACTACACTACATCACTATACACTACACTATAAACTACATCACTATACACTACACCACTATACACTACATTACTATATACTACACGCTACTATACCTACTATACACTATACACTACGCTATACACGACACCACTATACACTACATTACTATATACTACTATGGACTACACCACTATACTATTTTTTCCAGAAATCCGCCCTATTTGGTGTTAGCGTCGGCTACCCTGTTGTGGCTGGCTCCCTGTGGCCCCGGGGGCGACGAGGCCCAGGGATTTGCCCTCCCAGGGCCAATAGAAGAACCTGCAAGTCGCCCTCCCGGTGTTCCAACGATGCCACATCCTGAGAAAACCCTCCTCCCATGACTTTGATTAGGCCTCGGGTAAAAGTACCGCATTTTCCCGCATATAACCCGCGGGGTAGACCACTTTTTACAAACAAGACCCTGCGGGGTATATGGAGGCACGGGCTATCCCAAAAAGTATTTCACACGTGTGACGTGTCACGGCTCGTTACATTTTTTCGTTGGTAGGACCATCCACTGTGCAACACTCACGTTTGACTAAAGCACCGCTGAATACACCACTCGCACTAGAATTGCACGTGTTATTAAATTATTCGAATTGTTCGTACAATGAAACGACAATGGTTGAAGTGGGCGCGCTTTATATTGCTGGTTCTTTCGGTAAAGTCACGTAGAGGGGAAATACTAAAAATATAAAACTAATAAAATTATCACGACGTTTCGACTGCAACACAAGCAAGCAAGCAGCAATCATCATCGGGTGTGAAAACCACAGCAAGAAAATTTGAAAAAAGTGGCGGTTGTTTTTAACGTTAGCGCCACGGAGAGAGATTTGACAGTCTGTTCAGACGGACGAGTCCATCTATACTCTTTGGTTCTATTCGGTAAAGTCACGTAGGTAAAAATAAAATCACAAAATTCACGACGTTTCGGCCACAACACAAGTGGCCTTGATCAGGTGAAGGGACCGGACTGTCCAGAGGACAGCGTTGGAGTGAAGACAACCGAGTCCAGGTCGCGTTGTCCTTTAAGCGACCTGCGCTTGGCTGTCTTCACTCCAACGCTGTCCTCTGGACAGTCCGGTGCCTTCACCCGATGAAGGCCACTTGTGTTGTGGCCGAAACGTCGTGATTTTTTACCTACGTGACTTTACCGAAGAGAACCAAAGAGTATGGATCCTTGCAGTCACGAAAGCTTCAAATCTAGAATTGCGTCCATCTATGTTTGGAAAAGAGGAGGGGGGGGGGGGCGGGGTCGAAAAATAATGGATGCGGTCTGAAAGCCACCTTAAGCGTGATCAACCAATTAACACCCGAAATGGTTTATCAAATCCTTCCAATGATTGCTAAGCCAGAATCCATCTTCTCGGTTGTCTCTGTGTTTGTGTAGGCGGATAGCCCCCCCCCCCACCTCCAGCCCGGGCAACTCACCCCCCGCGGAGTCTGCGGCAAGGCCCCTGGCGAGCGCCAGCAGCTCGATGAGACTCGGCCCGGCGCGGGGGGAGCGGCAGGGCCCCCCCCGGGCCGGGAGCGGCGTCCCGGTCACCCCGCACCTCCTCGGGGGGGCGCTCCGGCGGGGCGGTCGGACGCCGCCATCGTCATCATCGTCGTCGTCGTCATCGGCGCCTTCATCATCGTCGTCATCATCGTCGTCGCCGTCATCGCCGTCGGCGCCTTCCACATCGTCGTCATCATCGTCATCATCGGCGCCTTCATCATCGTCATCGGCGCCTTCCGCATCGTCGTCGTCATCGGCGCCTTCATCATCGTCGTCGTCATCGGCGCCTTCATCATCGTCGTCGTCATCGGCGCCTTCATCATCGTCGTCGTCATCGGCGCCTTCATCATCGTCGTCGTCATCGGCGCCTTCACCGTCGTCATCATCGTCGTCATCACCGTCTCATCATTCATCCCCGCATGCCCGGGCGGCCGCAGCGCCGCCGCCGCCTCCGCGGTGCCCCGGGCCTCCTCCTGCTGCTGCTCCTCCTGCTGCTGCTCCTGCTGCTGCTCCTGCTGCTGCTCCTGCTGCTGCTGCTCCTGCTGCTGCTGCTCCTGCTGCTGCTGCTCCTGCTGCTGCTGCTCCTGCTGCTGCTCCTCCTGCTGCTGCTCGCGAGCGACGGCCCGTGCCGGCGGGCGACGGTGGCCGGGCGAGCGGCGGCCGCGGCCGTCGAAGGAGGAGGAGGCCGCCGCCGATTGAAGGCCCGCGTAGGGCCCGCTGCGACGAGCGGTCCAGAGCCGCGCCACGGCGACCCTGCTGCTGTGGCTGCTGACGACGACGATGCTGCTGATGACGTTGGCTGCTGATGATGATGACGTCGCTGATGACGACGCTGCTGGTGATGACGACACTGATGATGACGCCGCTGGTGATGACGACGCCGCTGGTGATGACGCTGCTGATGATGACGACGCTGATGATGACGCCGCTGGTGATGACGACGACACTGATGATGACGAAGCGACCCCTGGCTGAGCGAAGGGCCGCCAGCGAGCGAAGGGCCGCGCAGGGCTGAAGGCCCGAGCCTGGCGGGCCAAGCTCGGAGACATCCCAAGAGCCATGGGCCTTGCTTCTGACAAAACGTCAAGAAGAAACACTGCTGCTGCTGATGATGTTGTTGTTGATGTTGTTGTTGTTGCTGCTGATGCTGCTGATGATGTTGTTGTTGATGTTGCTGATGTTGTTGTTGATGTTGTAGATGTTGTTGATGTTGTTGCTGTTGTTGTTGTTTATGTTGTTGCTGCTGCTGGTGCTGCTGTTGTTGCTGGTGCTGTTGTTGCTGGTGCTGTTGTTGCTGCTGCTGTTGTTGATGTTGTTGCTGGTGCTGTTGTTGCTGCTGCTGTTGTTGATGATGTTGCTGTTGCTGCTACTACCGCTGCTGTTGCTGTTGTTGCTGCTGCTACTGCTGTTACTACTGCTACTGCTGTTGCTACTGCTGCTGCTACTGCTGTTACTACTGCTACTGCTGTTACTACTGCTACTACTGCTGCTACTGCTGTTACTACTGCTACTGCTGTTGCTACTACTGTTACTACTGCTACTGCTGTTGCTGTTGTTGCTACTGCTGTTGCTACTGCTGTTACTACTGCTACTACTGCTACTTCGTCGACCGATGAGAAACGCCGACGCAGTTCGGCACCGCGCACCCGAGAATTCCCGCTCGCCTCTCTCTCTCTCTCCTCTGCTGCTGTCAAAACAGCCGCTCGGTGTCTATCCGGTGTGTGTGTGTGTGGCGGGGGGGGGGGGGTAGCGTCCTGGAACGTCGGACTAACGAGTGGGTGGCAGTAGCCGTGCCCGTACGCGTGGGGGAGGAGTGGGAGGGTAGACTGATTGTTACCGGTGTGTTCAACTATTTGTTGTTGTTGTTGTTTTAAACTACATGAGGTCAGTAAGCGTCCCGCTCTAGCACTCCGATGTCGCGTCTCTCGTCACAAGCCTGCCCCGGCCATCACTAACGACGATGACAAGCTGCTCCTCATCATCATCAGCATCGTGTCATCATCATCATCGTGTCATCATCAGCATCGCGTGGATATTCACAGCGGACTCCGGGACTCAAAGACACCCAAAGAGGACGCTCAGCAATCTAAGAGACCCACAGACACCTACAGAGACCATACAGAGACCCAGATAAAAGCAGAGACCCACAGACACCTATAGAGACCCACAAACACCTACAGAGACCCACATACACCCACAGAGACCCACAGACACCTACAGAGACCCACAGAGACTCAGACACCTACAGAGCACCCAGAGACCCAGAGAGACCCACAGAGACCCAGATAGAAGCAGAGACCCACAGACACCTACAGAGACCCACAAACACCTACAGAGACCCACAGACACCTACAGAGACCCACAGACACCTACAGAGACCCACAGACACCTATAGAGACCCACAGAGACCCACAGACATCTCCAGAGACCATACAGAGACCCAGATAAAAGCAGAGACCCACAGACACCTATAGAGACCCACAAACACCTACAGAGACCCACAGACGCCTACAGAGACCCACACTCAAACTAAACTATTTTATTTTACTCGGTAAGGCGGCTAATGTTAGCTCCTTTTTGCCAGAAGCGTACCCTGGCCATCACGAGAGCAACTCAACGCGACGTTGCGGCTTATCATCATCGTCATCATCATCAGCACGTAGACATTTCTAGCAGGCTCAGAGGCTCAGAGACCCATACTCATAGAAACCCACAGAGACCTACAGAGACCCACAGACACCTACAGAGACCCACAGACTCCTACAGAGACCATACAGAGACCCACAGACACCTACAGAGACCATACAGAGACCCACAGACACCTACAGAGACCCATACTCACCGAGACCCATGCTCAGACTATAACATGTTTTTATTTTACCAGCTAAGGCCCCCCCACTCAGCTGGTGCGTAGCTCAGAAGCAACGCTGGCTACCGCAAAGCAGGAAATATTAGCGGCGTTCTTGTGCTGCTGTACAGTGTGACCGGACGTCGCCTGCGAACAACGGCAAACAAACAAAAGAGCTTCACAGCTCATCGGATTTCCTACTCCAGGTCGGAATTTTTTGTTCCCAAAAAAAAATCGAGAGAGTCGCCCTTGACCGCTCACGGGGTCGACTGTCCACCAACACCACCACCAACACCACCACCAACACCACACACACACAACAACCCTGCCGCTAACGCTCTCTCCCAGTAGTTGTCTTGGGCAGCTGCACCAAGTCGGTTCGATAAGACAACACACAAACAACAACGAGAGAGAGAGAGCGCAAGGACTCTGGTTACTGTACGCCTGAGAGCACGGAAACACGTGGGGAGCACGTGGGGGAGGGCTGGGAGGACTTCCGCGCACGTGACCGAGAAGTCCCGCCCCCCCACCGCCTCCTTCTCCAGGGCCCGCCCCCCCCCTCTCTAGGGCCCGCCCCCCTCTCCAGGGCCCGCCCCCCTCTGCAGGGCCCGCCCCCCTCTGCAGGGCCCGCCCCCCTCTGCAGGGCCCGCCCCCCTCTGCAGGGCCCGCCCCCCTCTGCAGGGCCCGCCCCCCTCTGCAGGGCCCGCCCCCCTCTGCAGGGCCCGCCCCCCTCTGCAGGGCCCGCCCCCCCAATCCAGGCCCATCCCCTCTCCAGGGCCCGCCCCTCTCTAGGGCCCGCCCCCCCTCTCCAGGGCCCGCCCCCTTCTCCAGGGTCCGCCCCCCCAATCCAGGCCCATCCCCTCTCCAGGGCCCGCCCCTCTCTAGGGCCCGCCCCCCTCTCCAGGGCCCGCCCCCTTCTCCAGGGTCCGCCCCCCCAATCCAGGCCCATCCCCTCTCCAGGGCCCGCCCCTCTCTAGGACCCGCCCCCCCAATCCCGGCCCATCCCCTCTCCAGGGCCCGCTCCCCTCTCTAGGGCCCGCCCCCCTCTTCAGGACCCGCCCCCCCCCCAATCCAGGCCCATCCCCTCTCCAGGGCCCGCCCCCCTCTCTAGGGCCCGCCCCCCTCTCTAGGGCCCGCCCCCCCCAAATCCAGGGCCCCTCCCTTCCCGCCCACCCTCACCTCCAGCCCCCCCCCCCTCGAGGGCCCGCCCCCTGTCCAGGCCCCACCATCTAGGGCCCGCCCCCCTTCCTCCAGGTCCTCCCCCCCCCCAGCCCCTCCCCCCACACAGAGACTCAGAGAGACTCGCACAGAGATTTGAAGTTTTCGTGACTGCAATGACCCACAACGCTCTTTGCTTCTTTCGGTAAAGTCATCACGTTAGTGGGTATAAATAAATAAAAAAATTGCGGTTAATCTCAATCACGACGTTTCGGAGGCAACACGAGCCTCCGTCATCAGGTGTAGCTAGCGCAGCAACATTACTGTAGAGACAGAGAGAGAGAGCTCTTTGTGATAAGAGATTACTACATAGGGTAAGAGGAGGATTGCAGGAGCCAGGGATGACGGATGCAGGGTGGAGTGGCGTGGGGTCAAAATGAGGGCACCCCCATGGATTGTCGCTTGTCGCCAGTGATAGCCAACGTTTTCATGGAGACATTTGAAACAGACGCCATCCGAACGTCCACCCTACGTCCCTCCCTGTGGAAGAGATTCGATTCATTTGGCGAGACGTTGGGCCCCCACCCCCCACCACACACCACACCCCACCGGCCAAACGCCGGTCAGCCGTCGATCCTCGGCTTCTTTGCCAAGACAGTTTCATAGTTTCATTTATTTTGGTACAGCCCTGTGAGCCATTCGGCTCTTGAATCGGAGTGCAACCGCAACAAACAAAAAACATGAACAAGAAAAACATCTTGAAGTGACTTTGTGTGTGACTGTGCAAACAGAAAATACAGGAAAAAAAAACATCAAAATATTCCTGAAATAGCACCGTACACCAACGCTGTGTGCAAAAATCCCAGTGGGATGCAAGTCAAACAATAACAACAACAACCACAAGACAACTAAGATTAAGGCCATCAGTCTAACTCCGTACTACAATAAACAAAAACATGGCCAAAACAAACAAAAAACGTTTTCGAAATCACCAAAATAAAAGCCATAAATCCAATGCAACGGCGACCATAGGGACTGTGACCGAATTTTTACACAATAAACTACGTAAATAAATTATAACACCAAAATCTAGAGCCATATTTTAGGCCGCTGAATATCAGTGGCGGCTAGGGTTGTACACGAGCCCCCCGCCGCCCTCCAGGCGGTGAATTTTGACGTGTTCGTCTAATGCAGGGGTCGGGAACCTTTTTGACTAAGAGAGCCATGAAAGCAAAAAATTTGGAAATTTATTTCAGTGAGAGCCATATAATATATTTTAAAAGTGAATTCAACTAAATGTCAGTATAATAAGCCTCTGAATTTATTCTTTTAAATAATGTTGTTATAACACTCACCATTAATGCGACTTCTGGTGCTACATGGATTTGCTGATGTCTTTGTAGTCGGGTTGGTACTTGGTGAGGTTAAGCTTCATGCAAGCGTTGAGGCTTTCATCCGTTAAACGTGATCGTAGGTTGGACTTGATGTTTTTTAAGATGTGAGAATGACTGCTCACATGCATACGTAGATCCAAACATGGTCAATACAGCAATACTCACACGCTGCAGTGTGTGGTATGTGACAGGAAGCGCGTTCCAAGTTTTGAGAATCAGCTGGTCTTCGGGTTGGAGTTTTTTCATTTCTGTCCACATGTGCTTGCTCGCCAACTCCGCTTTCTGTCGTGTGATTCTTTCCAAATCTTCATTCAGTGACTTGAACTTATTCACCCACATGTCTGAGGCCTTCAGGTCAGCCACTTCTGCTTCAAAATCTCTGACGGAGACACCAGGGATGTAATTCAGGTCGGCTGTGTTCAGTGAACACTCGTTTGGATGGGTGATGAACTTAAAAAAGACGAGTGTGCTCACGAAATTCTCCAAAGCGTGCTTTGAAGGACTGTAGGAGACTGGATGTGCAGCCAGCTAGCTGGTGGAGATCAAGGTTTTGAATGGGCTCACTTGCTGTGCATGCATCTTTAAATTGGCTCAGTTTTTCAAAATGTAGTAAACGACCTGTTTCAAGATCCGTGATGAAAAGCTCCAGCTTGTTTTCAAAAGCAAATACAGCTTGTTGAAGGGATAACACTGTATTTCCAATGCCTTGCATTTTCACGTTGAGCTGGTTCAGATGTTCAGTCAGATCTACGAGATAGTAAAACTTGAGGAGCCACTCGGTGTCGGCTAGCTCAGGATGCCCGACGCCTTTCATTTCAAGGAAAGTCCGGATTTCGTTCAGGCAAGCCGCAAAACGGCTAAGCACCTTCCCTCTTGACAACCAACGCACATTGCTGTGCAAAAGCAGACCAGGATAGTTATTTACAACTTCATCCAGCAGTGTTTTAAACTGGCGATCATTTAAGGCTCGGGCAACAATAAAGTTGATCACACGAATGACCAGCGACATCACTTCGCCAAACTGCCTGTCACACATCTGAGCACAAAGTGCCTCCTGGTGTATAATGCAATGGAAACTTAGGATGGGTCTATTTTCATGTTCACGGAGAAGCGCCACAAATCCTTTGTTTTTCCCCACCATACACGGAGCACCATCAGTACACACTGAGAGAAGTTTATCCATAGGTAGACTTTTTTCTTGAGCAAACTCCATGAAAGACTTGAATAAATCCTCACCTCTTGTGGACCCTTTTAATGGCAGAACAGCAAGACTTTCTTCGCGCAGTGTGTCACCAACAGCATATCTTGCAATCACGCTGAACTGCGACAAATGGCTCACGTCTGTTGACTCATCCAAAGCCAGAGAAAAGAACGGCGCTGCATTTATGTCCTTCACTTGCGTTTCCTCCACTTTGTTTGCCATCACGATGGTACGATCATGAACAGTTCTTGCCGACAGAGGCATGTCTTGTATCCGTTTGATTATCTTGTCTTTGTTCGGAAGATCATCAAAAAGTTCATTGGCTACATCCAGCATGAACGTTTTAGCATACTCGCCATCTGTGAATGGTTTTCCGTTCCTCACTATTGCTAAAGAACCAGCAAAGCTAGCCGAATTATAGTCACCTTGCCGGGTCCATACGCGGAGTTGCTGCTGGCTAGCTTGCACCCTGCTCAGAAGCTCTTGGCACGCTTTCTTTCTGCAGTCTCCCGCAGGGTATTTTGATGCAAAGGTAGCGTGGCGCGTGTCGAAGTGCCGCTTTACATTCGACCGTTTCAACGATGTAATTTTGTCATTGCAAATTAGACACACCGCAGAACCCGCTCTCTCCACAAAGGCGAATTCTTCGGTCCATTCGTCCTGAAATGTACGATACTCGTCGTCTTTTTTTCTTTTCGCCATCTTCTTCGTCGAAGGGTTAGCTTTGAGCTAATGACCGAGCAGACGCAGTCTCAGACTGATTCAAAAGGGGGCGTTTACCTGTTTTACCCAGCAACGGCAAACGTAGGCCAGTATCATCCAATTAAAA